TCTCATTACCGCTGCTTTCCCTCCACGTGTTATGCTGTGCGCGTACAGTACGGTATTGCATAGCATAATATTCAGTTTTCAACGCGGTACATTTGCAGTTTAAATAATTGTGCAAAAGATTTGCACTTTCTTAAAGAACGCATATGCAAAACGTATAAAGAATGTGTTCCCTAATTCATCAGCAATGTGTATGTGCAACAACTCAATGCGGTAACATGCAGTGGGGATTCCAGTACATTGCAACAATATTGATATTATTGTATGAATCAGGAGTACATTTGTATCTGAACACATCAATTACATTTTTTACTTAACAGGGAAAGAAGAGTATCGTGATGAAGATGTACAAGATGAATCTTTCCAGTACGGGGAGGACATAGAGAAGCAAGATTGTGGAGCTGTGGACCATGGTAATGAATCATCCCAAATGAACGTTGATGACAAAGGTAAATTCATGTTGTTCATTACACAAAATGAACAGCGTTTGTGGTGGATAATATAATGACTAAACAGATAAGCAGACGCTATGTCTCCTTCAAATATCCGTATAGTCACACCAGAAATAAAAGTATTTCTAAGACAACACATTGACCCAACGGCCTTATGGGAATGCATAATCTAGATTTGAAGTTTTCGTGCCTGCAGGGATCCATACTCTTTGGTTCTTTCGGTACAGTCACGTAGGTATGAAATAAAATAAAATATATCACGACGTTTCGGGCGCAACACGAGCGTCCGTCATCAGGTGGAACAACCACGGCAAGAAACAATTGCTGAAGTGGGAAAAAGGGCTGCTGTAACAAGAGGCTATATAGGTAAGAGAGGGGGGAGGAGCCAGGGAGGAGAGATAGAGAGGGGGGTGTGGGGTAGGGGGGAGTCGTTCTGCTCACTAGATGGATTAAGAAGGGAGCAAGAACAAAATGCCGGGGTGGGGGGGGGGGCTGAAGAAACTGGAGATGCGGATATGAAGGCAACACCATAACGCAGTTAAGGTTTTACCTGGTTAATAACATCCTTCCAATGATTGCTCAATTTGTATCCATCTTCTCGGTTGAAGTTATGTCTATGTTTATATATCTGGATGGCTTCATGAACAAACCTTTGGTAGTAGCCCGAAGGTTTGCAGAGTACCTTGGTCTCGGGAAAAAACAATATCATGAGAGCCCACAGCGTTATAGCAATGGTCAGCCACGGCGGAGGTATTAGTTCTGCCGTGTTTCAGATTTGACGTGTGCTTGTGAACACAGTCCGAGATATGTCGTTTCATTTCCCCAATGTAACACCCACCACAGGTGCAACTTTTATACCTACGTGACTTTACCGAAAGAACCAAAGAGTCTGGAATACATAATGTTTGTAGTTTTGATTCATGACCAGCAAACCGGCCCGGTTTTGACTTACGGCGTCGTATTAATGGTCAGGCTCGCTTGAAAGGGTCCACCATAAAGATACCTTGCCTATAGTATCTGACAGTTCACCAGTATTGATGAAGGCAAGTCTGACTGCTGATGAGACACTTTAAAACACCGCTCTCAGTTTGCTTGCATTTAATGCTGCTGAAATGAAGCACTCCAAGAAGGTCGTTGGGTTGATGGGTTGTGTAAGGAAATATTTTCCTCGTGGAGAACGAAGCGTATTATTCACTTATCGATAATGTATTGCAAATCACGTTTTTTTCTACTATGCAAGATATTTTGGGATGGACTTACTTCTGGGTCCTTCCCTTTGCATTATTAAATAAATCACCGTAAGCAACTGGAACATGTAATCGGCAAGTTTAAGGTTCATAATTGGTAGCTCACAAATTGTATCCCATAGGGAGAAAGCTGGAACCATGCCACGTGATACTGGTAAGGTTAGGGGAGGCGTTTTATGAAGATATCGATTACAAAAGGTTATTTATACATCCCAGGCATCGAACCACATTTTCAGATGAAGAGGAGGAAGTTCCAGATGTCGCACCTGATGGTGTAAACTCTGCTTTTCCACGGTATTACAAAAGGGAGAAACTACTGATCCAGATGAACTGGGAGATGTCAAAGGAGTTGAATCAGTTGTTGGAACAAGATGAGCCAACCTATGAATTCATGTTGACACAAATTAAATAGTTCAATCATTCAGCAATGCTTCATTTGTGCTTCTATTAAAACAAACAGTGGAACATATAGATGTATAAAATGATAATCATCCTGGATTTGCTGACGGTATAGTCATTACAAAATGGGCAGTGCCAATTAACTCTTGGAATTATTTAAGAATTTAGAGAAGACAGCCAAAAGAGTTGGGCTCAAGATAAGTGTGAGAAAAAGAAGAGTCGCATACAAGTTTTTTCTAGATGAATTGGGGTTAATTCTAGATTTGAAGCTTTCGTGACTGCAATTATTCATATTCTTAGGTTTTTTCGGTAAAGTCACGTAGGTCAAAAAACATTAAAAAGTAAAATAAAATAAAAATTTAATTCACGACGTTTCGGAGGCAACACAAGCTTACGTCTTCAGGTGGTACCGTCACAGCCACGACAGCTATACAATATTAATGTTTTTTGACCTACGTGACTTTACCGAAAAAACCTAAGAATATGAATTGGGGTTACTCGTCAGAGGACTTGCAGGCCAGCGTCAGCTCTAATGATAAACATGAAGTTCATATTCTTGCGTACAGTGGCAGTAAGTTCCGGAGCTAGAGCCAATGTCGAGGTCTGCTGGGGACGACGAGAGGGCGTGAGGAGAGAGTTCGTTGTGGCTTTGCTTTGTCTCCTCTGTTGGAGAAACGCAGACGACTGTGCTTTACTATGGCTTGGGTTGCATGGCCACGGTCACACTGTGGCTTGTCTTTCACTTTCCATTTATGAAGGAGATGAAGAAGTTGTGAGGGAAGGATGGGAGTGCATGAATTGGAGGAAAATGGTTCATCTGTGGGTATGTCCAGTTTTCACGTGAATGGTGCCAATTGAAAACTGCTTCAATAAATGATTATTATTATTTTTTTACAGAATCTGCACTCGCAAAACCAGCGGAACAAGTGATATCAATTGATGAGCCCAAGTCTGTGATGTGTGGAAATGTATCGCTACGACAGTATCAGGCTGAACTCGCAGAGTCTGCTCTCAAGGGAGAGAACTCCATCATCGTTGCCCCTACAGGTGAGCAAACGCCCAAGCCTCTGGGCATTATGCTGCTCGTGCAGGAATTTGTATGAGGGGTTCTTAAACAGTCACGCCACTGTAAGTTTATTCTCAGAAATGATGGGCCCAACGTACGCGAGGCGCTGGTGGCTATGCACGTGGCCTGTATTCCAGCACTGGAAGTCGAGGGCTGGTAGATTGCACAAATGTGAAACCCCTCCCGTGGACGTCGAGAAGGCATCCACACCCTAGCTCGCCAGGAGAGAGCAGCACAGCAAAAATGTGGACTCCACCTGTTCCATCTGTACGGGGGGTAGTGTTTCCCCTCGCACGCGTGAGTTCCCTCAGGTGTGCTCCGGTTTTCTCCCAAGTTCATTAATTGGCGAATAACACCTTAATATACAGAGGACTGCAGAGCTTGGACAGTTGTTGGTAGCGCCAGCTCATCATTTGGCTGCTGCCTTCCCCGCTTGTCTGCGGTTCCTCTTCGTGCCTCTGAGTCGTTCTCTCTATGAGAGCGAGTTAATATATGGCGGCGGCGGCGGAGGCTTATTATCACGTCAGCGGCGCCACGAGTAATGGGCGACTTTGCGCTGGATTATACAGTTTCTATCACAGGCGATGTGGCTGAAGGTTTTTTTGCGAGGAAAACTACCTTTAACATTCGGTGGCACTCATTTTCACCAACCCTTTGTAGTGTTGAGAATGGTGGGCTTATTATTGAGTTTCTAATTTGGTTAATGTCCTACGGTAAAATGTTATTTCAATAAAATAGTTTTTTTTCTTTTATCTTCACACAGACAGTGGCAAGACGTTTGTGGCTTTGGCAATCTGTGACGAGCACCTGAAGCAGCGCTCCGGAAAAGGCCCGAAGGTGATCTTTCTGGCACCGACACTGCCTGTGTTCCAACAACAATACGAACGCTTCCGCAAGCACTATCAGGACGAGAGGTATGTGTGCACACAATCGCGCGCGAAAATGTCCCATTTTTACCCTTACCTGCGTAGGATAATCACCGTTAGCAAGTGATGTGAAGTCACGTAGGTAGAGAAAATAAAACAAAGCACGACGTTTCGGGTGCAACACAAGCATCTGTCATCAGGGACTTACTTCAGCAATTGTTTTCGCTGTGGTTGTCCCCGGCTGATGACGGACGCTTGTGTTGCGCCCGAAACGTCGTGTTTCTTAAAATTTTATTTTCTCTACCTACGTGACTTTACCGAAAGAACCAAGAGTATGGATCCTTGCAGTCACGGAAACTTCAAGTCTAGAACAAGTGATGCGAGTCCAGTATGGCTGAAGCCAGCACGTAATAACGATTATAAATGTTTGTCCCGCTATCAATCATAACAAATGAATATCAAATGCTAGTCCACGTGGCTTTTGCCGATCATAACAAAAAAACATTCGTTTTAGTGGAAATCGAAGTGGTCATCCAAAGCTCTCATAACCAAGGAATTAATTATTTATTCGTGGACATTATCTGCTATTTTGAGATTACATAGAGTGCCAAAGTATAAATAATAAGAGCGGTCGGGAAAGGAGAGAATGTATCACTGAAGCGATAGTATTGATCGCCATTGTGACCACTGATAGAAGTGTGGGTGGTGATGTCAATGAGGATGATGTTGCAGGGCGATGAGCGTAAAAGTGGTAATGAGATGCAGGCATTGTGAGATGGGGTGATGATGTGATGAATGGAAGTTGTACAATTGGTGTAAAGAGTGCGGGTGCACTGCACGGCAGTTATAGTTTGGATAAAATTGGGGTTATGAGAGGTGAAGAGGAGTGGGAGAAGTAGTAGTAGTAGGTTTTTACCCTTTAAACTGGTACAAAAAACTGACACCTTTATACAAGGCATCATGTTTGCAATAACCACAACACAAGCAGTCAAAATGCAAACAAAAAGAAACAACTCTGATGATGATAATGATATGCACTCTCCTTGAAGTTGATTGGTCCACACCCGAGACAGCTTTTCTTAGAGCCTAGTCTCCATTGGTGTTGGACCAGATGACACCAAAAGGCGTACAACTCAAAAACAGCGCACTATCAGAGTATTGAGAGCTCGGGGTTAGCATTTACACTGAGACCTCCTTTACCAGTGGCAAAATATAGTAGTAGGTTTTTACCCTTTAAACTGGTACAAAAATCATTATCAGAGTTGTTTTTTTTGTTTGCATTTTGACTGCTTGTGTTGTGGTTATTGCAAACATGATGCCTTGTATAAAGGTGTCAGTTTTTTGTACCAGTTTAAAGGGTAAAAACCTACTACTATATTTTGCCACTGGTAAAGGAGGTCTCAAAGAGTGGGAGAAGTTCGTGTAAATTTTACAGGAGTAAACTATAAACGATTTAAACTATTTTTTATTTTACCGGGTAAGGCCCCGCTGAGCTATGTAGCTCTTTTTCAGAAGCAATCTGGCCACAAATGATAGCTCAACAAAGTGGCTTATCACGTGGAAATCTATCGCTGCGACCAAATACTCTGAACGCGTGATGTTGATTCTAAACGTGGAGGGGATAAAACCAGAGGACCCGGAGAAGAATCCATGCGACCACGGGGAGAGAGAGACACGCAAACTCCAAATATATAGCAGGCACCAAGGTCGGGATCAAACCCACGTCCTCCTACATGCCAAGCGAGGCAGTTAACATCTCACCACGGGGAGAGAAACACGCAAACTCCAAATATACAGCAAGCGTCAGGGTCGGGATCAAACCCACGACCTCCGGCATGCCAGGCAAGGTAGTTAACTACTCCTATCCACCGCAGGAGGGGGGATCGGGGTGAAGGGGTGCACAGGTGGGGGGGGGGGGTGTCCGTTTGTGTTTAATTTGTGGTAAATTTCCACAATCTTTTGTCATCCTGCTTAAGCACCTCGTGTGTATCCCCTGTCGCCGTGTCTCAACGTTTCAGCAACATGGTGTCCGTGGGCCGCGTGGCTGGAGGAGCCGAAGCCCCCGAGCCCCTAGATCTGCAGCTGATGAACAATGACGTTCTGATCATGACACCGCAGACACTGCTCAATGGGCTCGAGAAAACAAAGGTTTGCGCCATCACGGATTTCAGCCTCATCATCTTCGACGAGTGCCACCACACCTGTAAGAACCACCCCTACAACGTAATCATGCAGCATTACCTCAGGGTCAAGCATGGACCCAGTGCTCAACCACTGCCACAGGTACGCATGTGTGCGCACGTACGGACAGCGTTACATCTCGGTTGAAGTCGGATGTTTGTAACAAGCGGTTTAAATCTGGAAAGGTATTTCGCCAGAGGTGGGCCGTCAGGTCCAGCAAGGCCTTCTCTGCTGGCCTTGAGATTGTCAGAATCAGAAAATTTTATTTTGATATTTTAATATAAATTTTCATTAATGCTATATGTATTTTACAATGTTCGTTCCCATTAGTCTATTAACGTCATTTCATTGCTACTCTCTCTCTCAGTTGCGCTGCTTCCAATTATAGCTTTTATCCAATGAGATCTTCCACCTGTGCTGTATCCGCCTCTCCGGGAGAAAAATCGACCCTGAGGCCTTCAGAATGTCGAGTGGATCCCCTCTGCTGTTGAAGCAAATGGGGACGATATTGTAGATTGTCATATTCTTTAACCAATCAGATGTCGAGTTTGCCATGTTGGGTGTATTCTTTGACACGCCAGAGCCTTCTAGCTTACCTAGCCGCCTACGTCAGCCAGTTAGCTAACTGAAGTAAAACTCGCTAGCACGTAACGGAGCATAATCTGAGATTTATTTAAACTTTCTTTCTTGACGTTTCGATTTTTAGATGTAGTGCTTTAGATATTTATTTTCTGTGGGGAAGCCTGTTGAATCCTGATTGTGTTTTTTGTGTTTTGCTGGATTTTTGCTTGCGTGGTGGTCGTATGAGTAAATGTGACTGGTTGTTGTGAGTTTGTTCTTGTATCTTTGGTAATTACATTGATTTGGGCTCTGCGAATATGGGGTGGTTACGTCGAATGACAATAGCCTATAGCCCTAGTGTCATGGTGAGGTTATTCGAAGGCGGTTTAATTGCTGGAGGATAGCACTGAAGGCCTAGGTGTAAAATACACGGCCCGACACTGTATTCCACAAACGTTTAATGCCTGCTGATTTGGCTTTATCCTTTCTGGCATGAATACAGCTGTCAAGATCCATAATACAGGTTTTTTTTGCATTATGGATGATATTGGTCGCGAAAACCTACGTGTTAAACTGGACTGTCAAGATGTTCAAACACCAAAAAGACACCTATTGCAAACCATTAAGTCTACATTATCCACACATACTCGTGGTAAAATATGTTGACTGAACTATGGGGACCTCATTTGCCAGTAAAAATATGATAATTATATGATCAACTTCAAGGACAGTGCACATTATCAGAGTTATGTCTTTTGTTTGTATTTATGACTGCAGGTATTGCGGTCTATGCAAACATGACTCCTTGCAAAAAGGTGTCAGTTTTGTTGCCAGATAGAAGGGTAAAGAACCAATTATCATATTTTTACTGGCAAATGAGGTCCCCATAGTGTAGATGCTTGCCCCGAGCTCTCATACTCTGATGGTGCATTGTCCTTGAGTTGTGCGCCTTTTGGCGTCATCTGGTCCAACCCATATGAGACTAGGCTCGAAGGAAAGCTGTCTCGGGTGTGGACCAATCAACTTCAAGGACAGTGCACATTATCAGAGTTATGTCTTTTGTTTGTATTTATGACTGCAGGTATTGCGGTCTATGCAAACATGACTCCTTGCAAAAAGGTGTCAGTTTTGTTGCCAGATAGAAGGGTAAAGAACCAATTATCATATTTTTACTGGCAAATGAGGTCCCCATAGTGTAGATGCTTGCCCCGAGCTCTCATACTCTGATGGTGCATTGTCCTTGAGTTGTGCGCCTTTTGGCGTCATCTGGTCCAACCCATATGAGACTAGGCTCGAAGGAAAGCTGTCTCGGGTGTGGACCAATCAACTTCAAGGACAGTGCACATTATCAGAGTTATGTCTTTTGTTTGTATTTATGACTGCAGGTATTGCGGTCTATGCAAACATGACTCCTTGCAAAAAGGTGTCAGTTTTGTTGCCAGATAGAAGGGTAAAGAACCAATTATCATATTTTTACTGGCAAATTAGGTCCCCATAGTGTAGATGCTTGCCCCGAGCTCTCATACTCTGATGGTGCATTTGTCCTTGAGTTGTGCGCCTTTTGGCGTCATCTGGTCCAACCCATATGAGACTAGGCTCGAAGGAAAGCTGTCTCGGGTGTGGACCAATCAACTTCAGGCACAGTGCACATTATCAGAGTTATGTTCTTTTGTTTGTATTATGACTGCAGGTATTGCGGTCTATGCAAACATGACTCCTTGCAAAAAGGTGTCAGTTTTGTTGCCAGATAGAAGGGTAAAGAACCAATTATCATATTTTTACTGGCAAATGAGGTCCCCATAGTGTAGATGCTTGCCCCGAGCTCTCATACTCTGATGGTGCATTGTCCTTGAGTTGTGCGCCTTTTGGCGTCATCTGGTCCAACCCATATGAGACTAGGCTCGAAGGAAAGCTGTCTCGGGTGTGGACCAATCAACTTCAGGGACAGTGCACATTATCAGAGTTATGTTCTTTTGTTTGTATTATGACTGCAGGTATTGCGGTCTATGCAAACATGACTCCTTGCAAAAAGGTGTCAGTTTTGTTGCCAGATAGAAGGGTAAAGAACCAATTATCATATTTTTACTGGCAAATGAGGTCCCCATAGTGTAGATGCTTGCCCCGAGCTCTCATACTCTGATGGTGCATTGTCCTTGAGTTGTGCGCCTTTTGGCGTCATCTGGTCCAACCCATATGAGACTAGGCTCGAAGGAAAGCTGTCTCGGGTGTGGACCAATCAACTTCAGGGACAGTGCACATTATCAGAGTTATGTTCTTTTGTTTGTATTATGACTGCAGGTATTGCGGTCTATGCAAACATGACTCCTTGCAAAAAGGTGTCAGTTTTGTTGCCAGATAGAAGGGTAAAGAACCAATTATCATATTTTTACTGGCAAATGAGGTCCCCATAGTGTAGATGCTTGCCCCGAGCTCTCATACTCTGATGGTGCATTGTCCTTGAGTTGTGCGCCTTTTGGCGTCATCTGGTCCAACCCATATGAGACTAGGCTCGAAGGAAAGCTGTCTCGGGTGTGGACCAATCAACTTCAGGGACAGTGCACATTATCAGAGTTATGTTCTTTTGTTTGTATTATGACTGCAGGTATTGCGGTCTATGCAAACATGACTCCTTGCAAAAGGTGTCAGTTTTGTTGCCAGATAGAAGGGTAAAGAACCAATTATCATATTTTTACTGGCAAATGAGGTCCCCATAGTGTAGATGCTTGCCCCGAGCTCTCATACTCTGATGGTGCATTGTCCTTGAGTTGTGCGCCTTTTGGCGTCATCTGGTCCAACCCATATGAGACTAGGCTCGAAGGAAAGCTGTCTCGGGTGTGGACCAATCAACTTCAAGGACAGTGCACATTATCAGAGTTATGTCTTTTGTTTGTATTTATGACTGCAGGCATTGCGGTCTATGCAAACATGACTCCTTGCAAAAAGGTGTCAGTTTTGTTGCCAGATAGAAGGGTAAAAAACCAATTATCATGTTGACTGAATTTCTTAACAGTTGTATTTACACCAGAAAGGCTAAAGCCTTTTATTTTGCATTATCTTAATACTGACACACATAGATGCACCTGTTGATTTGTAGTTTTACTTAAGGTAACGGCCGCGATTTAAGTCGTAGTTGAAAGGCGACTCTGTTATCTGGCAGAAAATAAATGGTGGTGATTACGCCAAGCCTTGCCTTTTTTATCTCTCCAAATGTAAACTTTCTAGCTCCTCTAGATCATCATTATAATTCGCACCATTTACACACTCAATCTGCCACTCATTATTGTCGTCGTGGTAAGGTGTAATGTACAGTATTTAAAAACACACTTACGTTGTATTTCCCCTTTCACAGATCGTGGGCCTTACAGCCTCTGTCGGAGTTGGAGAAAATAAGAGCTTGAAAGGGGCAATTGATCATATCTTAATGCTGTGCGCCAACATGGATGCTTGTGTCATATCCACTGTTCGGAGGAATCTCAAAGAGCTCGCTCAGTTTGTGCCCATAGCACAGCACAGTACGTGTCTTCCTTCTTCACCGCATGTGCAGGCTTTACCATGCGACCTCATTTATTACACCATCTTCTCTTGTATGGCTGATGTAGATGCAAAGCAACAACTACGATTTCACATTCAGGTGGTCAAGCTCAGATAACCGCGTCAGGAGCAGCGAAGTGTATCGTCGCTCTGGCGATGTCTCATTCGTATATGTGGATCGGGCCTTGCGTCGTTAGACGTTGTGCGGTCTTCTGGATGACCGCAGTCACACACACCAGAGAGTGTTTCATTTTTCTGTTTGTGCATCAGGTATCCGCATCTACGCTCAGTACAGGGCCTTCTCGCCATAGTGACAAAATTTAAAAAGCATCAAAGTTGTCCACGTTTGGTAATTTGAACGATGGAAGAATGCAAACTGGTGACGTCGCTGAGAAAGCGTTCAACGAAAGTAACCAACTTCACGCGAACGTACAGCGACCGACATTACACCCCCATATCGTAACATAATGTCGACATGCATTCCCTTCCCAAGCGGTTTTGCATAGTTCAATCAGACAACAAAAATTAGGAACTCAATCAATTAAAACGAAATTTTAATAAATGTATCTACGAAGTTTGCTATTAACAGCATATATGGCAGACTTTGTAAAGCTTCGTTGCTATGAAGCATTACGGTTACCAGTTTTACTATTCCTGCGTTTTTCGTAAGCCCGAGGGAACAGCCCTCAAATCATGAACATCTTTAAAACAGTTTTTTGTGCACAAACTAAAGATGCATTTAACGTCTCAAATGGGTGTTTTTGTTACCTCTGCATATTTAGCCTTTAAAAGTTGGTGATGAGATCAGGTTGCAATGCACATGGGCGAGTAAGACACAGAGTGTGGGTTGACAGGTACGAGAGAGTGTTTTCACGGGAAATGTCTCATCTTTCGTACCTGGCTACGGGTTTACTCTCTCTCTCTCTCTCTCGGCGCAGATATCCTACAGGTTGGGAGACGTCGTGCCGACCCATTTGCAGACATCATCAAAGATATTATGGCCAAAGTGGAGGACCTCTTATTTTCCCTGAACTTACCAGGTGAGTGTTCATGCCTTCTTCATTCTGTGACCAGTTCAATGAAAGGCAAACTTCCCCCGTACCTTGTCCTTCCTCCGCACCTCCGATTAGCACGGTTGGCTACGTACGGTGCGAAAGAAGCTCAACATACACACATAACTACAAACTAAGTGTAAAATTTCAATCAAGGTGTAGTTTTTACCAACGCTCAGCGGTTGAGCATGCCCCCCCACCTCGCAGCAGATAATTTGAGGTTAATCCTTTGCTTAGTTTTTGCCAGGAATCTTTCCGCAGAAGGTCACGTTGAGTGTGGCGTTGGCGCTGTTGTTGTGGAGACGAAATGCCAAGACAACCAATTTATTTGGGTTCGGTCTGAGTCGATATTTAGTGAAATACTCTGACATGATGTTTAAGGTCACAGTTGAGAGTAGCCTCCACCTCACCACGGCTGTGGGGTTGTGTAGCGGGGTGGGGAAGATTGTCCACGCACATGAACTTGCAGGAGATATCTATGGAATATTACTCGTGTACTGGTTGAATAGTGTCAAAGTGAGCAAAGCACCCTGGAGATGCCGATTATTGAGGGTGAGGGGGAGTATTAAAACTTGTCTGGCCAGGTCGAGGTGCACTCTTCATTTGCTGAGCAGGTTACAGATCAGCAGCAGCATATGGCAAGATTCTGGATAGCTTCAGCATTACATTTTGATACCAAACCGTATCATAGGCCAAAGACAGATCAATAAATGTGACACTGGTCTTGACATTTCTTTCGGATCCGCCTTTGATGGTCATTGTACTGGGCAGGACTTCATCACGGAAAATTATTTGTGGCCTGATCCTCGCTTGTTTCTTTGGGAGGGATGGCTTCCATGATGGGGCTGATTCTTCACACTCCTTGTCTGTCTGGTTAATCTGACATCCCACATCTTGCACACACATACCACCTAAATTTAGATTTAAAGCTTCGTGACAGGGATTCATATTCTTGGTTCTTTCGGTAAAGTCACGTAGAAGGGAAATAATAAAATAATAAAAATATAAAACAATTAAATTCTCACGATGTTTCTACTGCAACACAAGCAATCATCATCAGGTGTAAAATCCACAGCAAGAAAATTTGGAAAAAAACCCACCACTTTTTGCCAAAACGCAAGCAGCCGTCCTCTGCGTTGTGGCCGAAACGTCGTGATAATTTTATCTTATTATGTTTAATTTTTATTATAAACATTTTTCCCTTCTACATGACTTTACCGAAAGAACCAAAGAGTATGGATCCCTGCAGTCACGAAAGCTTCAAATCAAGATGATCAAATCCAATTATAAATGGCCACATGGATTGCGTGAAGAGAACAGATAAATAGAGATAAGAAGAGCAAGATATTTAGAGTACACATTAGAATAGCAGATAGATTTTTAAACGTCAGAGCAGAGGGATAAAGTCTTGGACAAATAGCCTCAGAGAGGTTCAGCCAGATTTTTTGACACGGCCTTTATTTAAACGAGCGGTGAAAACAAATCTATATATATAAAATCGTGAATGTCTGTCTGTCCGTGTGTGTGTGTGGATTTCGGACCATACGCACTTTCATTGGACGCCGGTTGCCCCTGGCAACGGCTAGCGACGCCTTCGCCAAGGGCTGCAGTTTCATTGGACGGCGGTTGCCCCTGCCAACGGCTAGCCACGCCTTCGCCACTTTCATAGGCTCCGTAAATAATTAAATAATAGCCATTACACAGTATTGTTCGAGCGCTGAGGGGGGGGGGGAAGGCACGCCACCCGTACCCTGCCTCTGCCGGGTGGACAATTTTGGCAAGGCCGCAGGCTCTGCACGCTACTAGGCCTCGACACCCACCACGCCACTCTGAGGTAAATTCATCAAAGTTTTTCCTACTCTTCACTCCACCCCCACCACAATGTGTGCAATTAATATTACTTTTAAACCCAACGCGCCAACAATCGATTACTTAAATGTTCACTGTACAAATAGTCATTAAGCTGAGTCAGCGTACTGCCAGTCTATCATGTAGACTGTAGCCTGCTTATTAAGCTCGGTGAGCGTACTGCCACTCTATCATGTACACTCTAGCCTGCTTATGAAGCTGACTGCGTGTACTGGCAGTCTATAATGTGGACTGTAGCCTGGTTATTATAATCGATTCTTTATATGTTCTTTGTACAAATAGTCATTAAGCTGGTTGAGCGACCCCAGTTCGATTCCAACTCACGCCCACCACCGCTGACGATTATTTGAAACGGACCTGGCTCTCCCCTAGGTCCACTCAGCCTCAAACGCGTAACTGCTGTCGTGTGTGAACATCGTCACTGGGGAGACAAAGGCGGCCGGCCATCGTGGATCCAAGTCCCGGGCAAAGCCTGGTCATGTGTATGTGTGTATGTGTTTATGTGTATGTCTGTGTGTCTCTATGTATGTGTGTATGAATGTGTGTGTATGTGTTTGTGTGTATGTATGTGTGTGTATGTATGTGGGTTTTTTTGTATGTCTTTATGTCTATGTCTGCGTGTCTCTATGTATGTGTGTATGTACGTGTGTGCATGTGTTTGTGTGAATGTATGTGTGTGTCTATGTATGTGTGTGTATGTGGTTCTGTGTATGTATCTGTGTGTATGTATGTGTGTTATGTTTGTCTCTGTGTGTCTGCATGTATGTGTGTGTGTATTGTCTATGTTTTTGTGTGTATGTATGTGTGTGTTTGTGTGTATGTGTGTGTATGTGTGTGTATGTATGTGTGTGTATGTGTTTGTATGTGTTTGTGTGTTTACGCTCGCATTACACAAATGTGTTGCAGGTCTAAGGCGTTCCTCGCGCAGCATTGCCGCTTTATTATTGCAGTCGTTTACTGCCGTACGCACCCTGAAAGTCGTGTGTGTCTGCAGCAAGCGCGTGTATGTGTACCTATGGACGCGCGCGCGTGTGTTGTGTAGGGGGAACGGTAGTGTAGTGCTTAGCGTGCTGTCTGTGTCTGTGTGTGTGTCTGTGTGTGTGTCTGTGTGTGGTGTGTGGGGAGCGGTAGTGTAGTGCTTAGCGCGCTGTCTGTGTGTCTGTGTGTGTGTCTGTCTGTGTCTGTCTGTGTGTGTCTGCGTGTGTCTGTGTGTGTGTCTGTGTGTGTGTCTGTGCGTGTGTGGTGTGTGAGGAGCGGTGGGTGTAGTGGTTAACGCTACGCTGCGCTACAAACCCGGCGAACCGAGTTCCATTCCCGCTCACGGCCACCACCGGTGACGATTATTTGAACCTCCCCTAGGTCGACTCAGCCGCAAACGAGTAACTGGTGTGGCGTATTAACATCGCCACTGGGGAGACAAAGGCGGCCGTGCGTGAGTGGTGAGGGAGGGAGAGTGGTGAGGGAGGGAGAGTGGTGAGGGAGGGACAGTGGTGAGGGAGGGACAGTGGTGAGGGAGGGAGAGTGGTGAGGGAGGGAGAGTGGTGAGGGAGGGAGAGTGGTGAGGGAGGGAGAGTGGTGAGGGAGGGACTCAGCCGCAAAACGAGTAACTGGTGTGGCGTATTAACATCGCCACTGGGGAGACAAAGGCGGCCGGCCGTGGTGGATACAAGTCCCGGGCGAAGCCGGGTAGTACAGCTAGTACATTCTTGAAGAACGTCATTAATGGGGCTGCAAAGATGGACTCACGGCCCGATAAGCCGATTTATATTATCACCAAGGTTAATCACAGCAACGTTGTAGAACACATTCCTGCGGAGGGAGCTGGTAGGAACGTTGGGTTGCTCGGTCAATGGCCAGGTTCAACGGCGGCGCGGTGTATTCCGCAAATATGGCCGACTGTGAGGGCGGGCACAAGCCGGCGTGAGTAGGTTAAACGTTGAGTTTTATAAGGGCACCACGGGGTGACCAGCGCCTCCCCACCCAGCCCAACCCTTCCCACCCCCACCCAGCCCCTCCCCACCCTCCCCTCCCCACCCAGCCCCACCCCTCCCACCCCCCACCCAGCCCCACCCTCCCCACCCAGCCCCTCCCCACTCTGCCTACCCAGCCCCTCCCCAACCTCCCCACCCAGCCCCTCCCCACCCTCCCCTCCCCACCCAGCCCCTCCCTCCCCACCCAGCCCCTCCCTGCACGATGGACGGGCACAATAATCCCCTGTAGACTGGTGTAACCAGAGGTTCCTACCAGTATAAGGATATGTAAAGACTGCAAACCTCCACCCGCCTAGTTGCATTGAATTACTCTTCCCTCCAGATGGAACAGTTAGTTGCTATTTCACAGCCAAAACCTGCCGTCAATCCCCATGCCAATAAAATGCGAGTCCGATAAGTAGGACATTAATCCCATTCACCCTTCTCGTCCCAGATTCGGGGCCCGAGCTGAAGAAAGGAAACGAATGCGGCACACAGCAGTATGAGCAGTGGGTGATACAAGTGCAGAGGGAGGGGAGCAAGATCTCCATTGCGGACGACAAGGAGCTGGAGCAGAAATTGTGCTGGTCCATCTTCTCGTGCACAAGCCACCTGCGGGTAAATTTATATAACCGGGGGGGGGGCGGTAACGTTCAATCAAATATTAAAAGTTCGACAGTACTCTTGCTTTGCATGACTCCGCTGCGGCTCTGTGTTACGCAGTTCCAACCTCTCGCGGCGGGTGCCTGCCACTGCACATTGGGACCCTCGGATGAAATGCGCCTTACAAATGTCAATTATTATTAGCTTCCAGGATACATGGCAGCGCCCATATCATTCCTGCGCTGGCAGGGTCTGAACTTTGATTGCCACCGGTTCACTACTCGCTTCACAGATGCGGCACGGCCTCACCCTCGCTGCCTCTCAGTGCCTCCCACGTGGCTCTCTGCCTGTGTAACAACTGCAACGTGGTCACTTTGGGTTACCACTCAGCCCAGACACACAGCACGCCTCACCCCTCCCTACCTCTAAACGCCTCCCACGTGGCTTTCTTTATACAGTACGAGCTTTACTACCCGGCTTCGCCCGGGACTTGGATTCACCACGCCCGGCCGCCTTTGTCTCCCCAGTGGCGATGTTCACACACCACAACAGTTACTCGTTTTGAGGCTGAGTCGACCTAGGGGAGGCCCAGGACCGGTTAAAATAATCGTCACCGGTGGTGGCCGTGAGCGGGAATTGAACTCGGGTCGCCGGGTTCGTAGCGCGGTGTGGCGCTACCCACTACACTACAATGCATTACACTGCCACATGCGCGGGTCACGTGACAGATGTGACGTAACAGTTCACTTGCCGTGTAAAAAATGTATGTATTATTGAGCTCCCCTCTCCCCCCCCCCAAAAAAATAAGTGTATTTTTATAATGTTTGCATGGTGTACAGTCTGGAAAGTACCCACATGGCACATTTCAAGTTTGTTGCATGTCGGAAAGTACGCTAAACATTTTGAACAGATACACATAATCACAACTTTGCCTTTTATATATATAGAGATATGAAACAGCATTCAATGAAGCGTTTGACTATCGTAAGGAACAAAGTTATTAACATATGAGAAGGGACGGAACCTTACGTGCTGCCCCTCTGCTCTAAGCCTATCACGACCCAGTCCTGTCCACGCTACTACGATGTCTCTCTCTTTGATGTCATCTCTTTGATCATCTGCACTGTTTATCATGAACTTTACCGCACCTGTTACACTCGTTATATATGGGGTGATGCAACTCCATGTGTACCTGCAATTATGTACTGAACAGCACATTTTGGAATCTGACTCGTGACCAAATGCTTAATGAGGTATCTGGCAAGACCTGCATTGATATATTAGAGTGCAGTTTACAGCATATGCAGAGAGTTGAATTTCTATTGAAAACTCAACATACACACACTACTATACATGACATACTCCACTATACACTACACTACTCTATACTTAACTACACTACTATACACTACACTGTATACTACACTACTATACACTACACTATATACTATACTACTATATAACATGTGTTGTCCTGCCCCCGCACCTCCGATTAGCACGGTTGGCTACGTAGTGCGCAAAAGAAGTTCAACAACGTACATACAAAGAGGTTGATACAAAACAGAGAGATGGAGAGGGGAGGAGCTGTTAACCAGAGGAACAGAAATGGTTAAATCTTGATTTGAAGCTTTCGTGACTGCAGGAATCCATACTCGGTAAAGTCACGTAGGTAGAAATAAAATAAAATAAAACAAATCACGACGTTTCGATCGCAACACAAGCGATCTTCAGCAGGTGGGACAACCACAGCAAGAAAATGCTGAAATGCAAAAACAGATATATATACAGTAAGACAGAGAGTCAGCAACTATGAAACATTGAAACAGTGAAACACAGGAGAGTAAAACATCAACACAAAAGCAGAGGAAGCAATTTCTGAGCTTTCTTTCGGAGTGTGGCATTGCTGAACGTTTCGTTCTGCCCGTTTCCCAGTTGAACGTGTGAAACTGTCTGCAAGGCAAAAGGATTGGAGGCCAGATGTCAACCAAGTCCCAGGCAGGGGCAGGATATGGGAATTCTGCCCAAGAGCATTTTTCAATGAATTAGCCTGGACTTTTGCAGCTGTTTTAGACTAATTTCAGGGTGCTGATTCCAAATCTGATTTCAGATTTGCTCTATCACATCTCATTTTTAAATCCTTTATATTAAGTTCGCTTGCTTGCTTGTGTGCTTGCGTGCTTGCTTGCTTGCTTACGACCGTGCAAATCTTTTGGTCGTTTTTTAACCCACTTCCTGTGATCTAATCGAGCTGACATTTTCCACACGACTCATTGTGCATGACAATTAATTTTCGTGAAAATTTTTTTCCAAAATTTTACACTGTTTAGGGAAAAAAAAAAATGTAATTACCAATTGCTTAATGCTGGCAGACAATCATCTGACCCATAGGTGACAGCCATCTCAAGCCAGAGGACGAGAGGACTCTAGCCGCCACGCATATAAAGGATTTATAGTGAAAAACTGTGTTTTTACGGGTTAATTTTTTATGCTATCGGCATACCCCATTTTCATTGATTTTACCCGAAATTAACTCTGTCACTTATGATTGCAAGTAGTTGCGAGTCAGTGACTGCTTTAGTGTTAAAATATGGTGCTGTATTTTTAGGATAGTGTGTTTATAATATCATTTTATGTAGATATCCACATTTATTTAATATTTTTATTCTGCAGTTTTTATTGAAAATGCAATATTTGATATCTCAAAAATCTGATGTGATAGACAAAAACTGATGCCAGATTTGGAATCAGCACCCCAAAATTACATTAAAACCGTTGGAATACCTTATGCCAGAAAAAGTGTGTTGACCAGTGTTATCCATCCCCCTGATCGGGCCTCGTTCCCATACACCTTGTACACCCAAAGTGAGCGTGCCGGATGATCCTGTGAATAGGACGGAAAGGTCGCATCAATTGCACCAACTCGTGGTACAGGTTTCAGGTGGATTTGCTTGAAAGCCTAATGAACAGGCCTTAAACCTCCAGCAAATAATTTCCCCTGATACCCAGCTTCTTCAGATTCCTGACTACAATATATCCTTTTGTGAGAAAAAAATCAATACAATTCTTATACATCTTCTATTTGAGTATTTGTCCCGCTTTCTGAGCCCCCTCTCTCTCTCTCCACGGTCTTTAATACGTCGCCATCCTCACGGTAACGCCATCGCACGCTCTCCTATCCTCACTGACAACTTCTCGCCGTGCCTTCTTGGGTCTCCCCCTCTTTCTCTTTCCCTCGTTTGTCATGACTCTGAACTTTCCAACGCAGCCATCCGTACGTCCAAGCCCTTTCAGTCTCTTCTCACTCAAATTCTCCTCTGCCGACGATGCTACCTGTATTATGGATGCTTCCTTTACTTGTTGTCTCATCTTTTAGTTTCTCACACAATCTCTTCCACTCCCTCCACAAATCCACCTCAGCATTCTCATCTCCGTTAACCTCATGGTGTGTTCCAGCCGCTCATTAGTGCCCCGGGCCGTACGTTAACACTGCTCTACTCGCCAATTAATTGCCGACGGCACCCAAATATTCGTCTCCTTTCCCTCTTTCAACCCTGACCTTTCCTGTCGCATCTCCTCCACCCTGCCTGACTGCCATCCAATCCTGGATGGCGCTTCACTCTCTCGATCTGTCCAAAACATCATTATTTTTGTTACAGCCTCCCTCTCTCCCCCATCCCATCCCTCCCATCCCCACCCTCCTCTCTCCCTTGCTCCCGATTCCTCTGCCCTCAACCTCGGTGTCACCTTTGACTGTTGGCTCATTCTAGATTTGAAGCTTTCGTGACTTGCAAGGATTCATACTCTTAGGTTTTTTGGTGAAGTCACGTAGGAAAAAAATAAATAATAAAAATATAGTTTAAATGATAATAGAAATAAAATAATTATTTTAATAGAAATACAATTATTTTATTTCTATTATCATTTCAATTATATTTGTATTATTTATTTTTTACCTACGTGACTTTACCGAAAAACCCAAGAGTATGTTGGCTCATTCTTTCTGCCCACGTATCCGTGGCTATTCACATCTGTCACTTTAATCTATTCAATGTCAGGAAAATCCCACCTCTCATTTCACTTTCTGCCACCAAAATTCCTGGTTCATGCTCCGATCTTGACCCGGTCTCTACTGCTGCAATTCTCTTCTATTCGGTCTCCCTGCCTATGCACTCACTTCCCTGCTGACAAATTCAAAATAACCCCGCGTGGGTTATTTTCAGTCCCCCGTTTAATTCTCACATTTCACCTCCTCTCCATCAACTTGGCCGGCTCCCCGTTTACTGTCGCTGCCTCTCTCTCTCTCTCTATTGTCATGTCCCCCCCTCGTGCCCTTCGTTCACAGTCTTCTCTCTACTAATAATAATAGGGGTTTTCCCCTTTTTTCTGGCAATAAAACTGAAACCTTTTTACAAGGAATCATGTGTGCATTAACCACAATGCTTGTGGTCAAAATGCAAACAAAAACACACTCTGATAACATATGCATTGTCCTTGCAACTGATTGGTCCATATATTATTAGAGTGTTTCTTGTTTGCATTTTGACCACAAGTATTGTGGTTAATGCACACATGATTCCTCGTAAAAAGATTTCAGTTTTGTTGCCAGAAAAAAGGGGATAAACCCCTATTATTATATTTTGGTATTGGCAAAGGAGGTCTAATGATGTCTTCTCTCTGTCTCTCATCCCTGTGCCCAATCTCGTTTTCGATCCTTCTCCCTCCTTGCGCCCCTACCACTGCAGAAGGAACTTCCCCTGTACATTGAGCAGCACCATCCATAGACACGGCACTGTCCCCGTGTACATGAAGCAGTCCCCCTCCTTCACCCCCTTCACCTCCCTTACCTCCTTAACCTCCCTTACCTCCTTCACCTCCTCCCCTTCCTCTCTTGAAGTTTCACCTCTTCTCCGTTGCCCATCCTCTTCCCTCCCATCGTCCCCCCCCCCCCCCCCCACTCTGTTCCGCCCCTCCCCTATAGCCCTTCCTTGACCCCCACGTGACCTCTGTTACGGTCATTCATTCCTCGGCCCTTGACATGCCCTTGCTTTCTAAATCACTCTATTTTCGTTACCGCTTTTAAATTATGTAAAGCGCCTTGCGCTAGAAGGCGCACTATAAATATAAAATAAGATACGATTCATACTAATTGCCGAGTTTCGTTCTTCGGGCTCTGATGCAAAGGTCAGCCTGCGTTTGCATGATGTTCTCATCTTTTACTTGAACGTTTACAGCTGTGAATGGAAGCCCGTGTCTCTACTGTATGCATATTTTTGGAATGGCGAACGTGGGAAGATAAAAGCATGAGGAGAACTGCTTACTTAGTACCCGGCTCTTCCACACATTCATTTTTGTGTCGTCCAAATTGCTCTGATCATAACCAAAAGGTGCCATGTAATTTTTGTTTTTGCAGAAGTACAATGACGCTTTGTTTATTAATGAGGATACAAGAGCTAAGGATGCAATGAACTATCTTCAGAAATTCTTTGCATCGATGGATTCTAAAGGTTTCATTGACATAGATGAAACACTCGTCAACTTTTTTAAAGGTAAGCTTGTCATTAATTTGTTTTTACTTAAAAGTATTTTTTATACCGTCTGGCCCAGAGATGTCCCTGGTCTTTAAATACGTGGTCAACAAATGAGGTATTCTCAACATTACAAAATGTAATCATGACAGGCATTGTATGTGTAGATGGAACACTTTAGGCTTGACAGAACAATCTGGGGAAGCAAAGGGATAAATAAAATGTGCAGTAGATATATTAAAACATAGACCCTGTCAGCAATGGAGACTTCTCCCACCTGCCATTGGGCAAAGACTTCCCAGATGACCCCAAACAGAAAACCCTTCCCTGCATTCTTCGTTTATGAAACTTGTACATTCATTGTTGCCAGTTAGTTATTATCACATCTGACGTTAAATATGATGGAGGCATTACTTTGTTTACACACTTGCTGAACAAACAGCGCTGTCACGACCCGAGTCGTTCCTCGTTCAACGCGCTAGATGCGTGCCTGAAAAGTGCTGCGTTAAGCGAAAACTCGTCAAGAGAAGATCCACCGATTATATGCATTGGAGGGCGTAAGTAAAGAAACCGATGCAAATTTGACTCACGCTTGCACTGTAAAGTCAGACGACAGTCATCCAATGGCAGGGCAAGAAACTGAGACGAGGTTATGCCGCGTGCTGTATCACACCGCTAAAGCGCGCAGCTCAAGAAAGTAGTTCATCATCGACCAGTCGAAAACTGCGTTCATAACGGTGCACGTTCTGTTTTTGTGCGAAAAAGTGTTCCCTCGCGGAAGAACCGCATTACAGTAAAACCTTGGATTGCGAGTAACTTGGTCTGCGAGTGTTTTGCAAGACGAGCAATTTTTAAAAATAAATATTAATTAGATAAACGAGCGAGGTCTTGCAATACGGGTAGTACGTGTATACGCTTTGTCTGCCGAGCGTCACGTGATCACAACTGATATACGAGTGCTTTGATCTACGAGTGCTTTGGATTATAAACACGTTTCCGGAACGAATTATGCTCGCAATCCAAGGTTTTACCGTATATTGAAAACGCATTACAGTGTGCACGCTCCTTAAGCGAGGACTTTCCGTATTTGAAAATTTGTCGCTCGATAGAAGTGTGGGTCGGTCCAGAGGTTAGTCACCCAACCCCCAACAATATCCAGAAACCCACAATCGTAAAATAACATGTTCATTCTTGAAAATAACAATAAGAAAAATGTCTCGCAACAACACTCGCCTCTACGCGAGGAATAATACTGGTTTGCAGTCTTTACATATCCTTATACTGGTAGGAACCTCCTGGTTACAACAGGCCACAGGGGATTATTGTGTCTGTCCGTCGTGCATCCAAAAATGGGAGGGGTGGGGCTGGGTGGAGAGGGGAGGGTGGGGAGGGAGGGGCTGGGTGGGGAGGGGCTGGGTGGGGCTGGGTGGGGAGGGGCTGGGTGGGGAGGGTGGGGAAGGGCTGGGTGGGGAGGGTGGGGCTGGGTGGGGGGTGGGAGGGGTGGCGCTGGGTGGGGAGGGGCTGGTCACCCCGTGGTGCCCTTATAAAACTCAACGTTTAACCTACTCACGCCGGCTTGTGCCCGCCCTGCAAGTCGACCATATTTGCGGAATACACCACACCACCGTTAACCCTGGCCATTGACCGAGCAACCCAACGTTCCTACCGGCTCCCTCCGCAGGAATGTGTTATCTCAGACAGGTTTTATCGAGTGTGGGTCTCGTCACAGCACATTCTCTCAGAGTTTGGTTCTCCTTACAGGACCACATTCAGAGAATATTTTTCCCCCTCGGTTACGCAATCAGATAGTACATTCATTGGTATCCCTTGATGGTGGCAGGGTTTTTTTTTCCACCCTCACGACCACCTCATCAGTTTTTTTTACACAACTGCACGTGAGATAGAGAGTCGGACAACAGCATCCGAGATTAGACTTCGCTTCACATGGGCGCCTGTGCTCTTCGTTCCCGCCGGTTGCTCCCCACAGAGTGTCAACTTTGCGCGCTCATTCCAAGCTTGGAGTCAATCCCAGAGACCCGCTTGGCTCGGCCTGATGAGTCCTTGTCCACCAGGCATGGACCCTCATCGGTGGCCTACCTCCACACTCCTGAAAGGCTGAAATAAATAGAAATGAGAGGTCATTATACTCCAAATAATGATATTCTATTTCGATTTAAAGCTTTCGTGACTGCAGGGATTCATCTTCTTGGTTCTTTCGGTAAAGTCACGTAGAAGGGAAATAATAAAATGATAAAAATAAAACATCATAAAATACAATTCTCACGACGTTTCGGCCACAACGCAAGCAGCCGTCCTCAGGTGAAGAACAGGGCTGTCGGAAAGACAGCGTTCACAGCATTCAGATGCTGTCTTTCCAACAGCCCTGTTCTTCTGAATGAGACGCTGTCTTTCCGACAGCCCTGTTCTTCACCTGAGGACGGCTGCTTGCGTTGTGGCCGAAACGTCGTGAGAATTGTATTTTATTATGTTTTATTTTTATTATTTTATTATTTCCCTTCTACGTGACTTTACCGAAAGCACCAAGAAGATGATTATATTCACTCACCGCTGACTTAAATTGAAGTGTACTGTGTTGAGATGGCATTCCAACCGACTGATGCTTATTCAGCCCTTGCTTCACAAGATGCCATGAATGCTGCCCACTTATCTTGGAAGAAGCAACGCCTTGTTTGTTCCATGGCTCTGGCATGATATGTAGCAAATGTATGTGTAAGGTATGGTGAACTTCTTTCGCACCATACGCAAAAAACCGTGCTAATCGGAGGTGCGGGGGAAGGACAACAAACTCAACACAAAAGCAATTCTAACTAATTTAGTTTTCAATCGAGATTGAAAAAAAAAAGTGCATAGCTCCAGTGGCTTCTTAATATCGGAAGAAAGAGCATTCCAGGTGGCCGCAGAAGCGCATCTGAAAGCGCGCGATGCGGTGATCATCTTTGTTCGGTGGTTAGCCAAAATGCGCTGCGAAGATTAAATGTTTGTTCTTCACGCTTATAACAATTTTTTAAACTGATTAAATTCCCTCGCCTCTGAACGGTGCTTTAGGTAACTCCTCACCTCTTCTTTCCAATCACCTCATCCCATAGCTTACTTCAGGTTGACTTTCAAGTTCATTTTTCAAGACGTGCCCTCTGTACATATCTGTATTTCGAACCACTCAATCATACAATCCAAGTACATTTTCTTCCCAAGGAACATTTTTATTACATTTTATAATTTTTCATCATTCTACTCCAAGTTAATCACAAGCATCATCAAATCTGTACGAGATAAGAGTAATACCGTCTCTTGCCTTCACCAAGGTTATTATAAGAGCTTAGGAAAAGAGATGATAGGAGGTGATGAATGAAGCACCGATGCAACATTTTTTCATGTAACTCTGGCATTACATTTCGATTTAAAGCTTTCGTGACTGCATGGATTCATATTCTTGGTTCTTTCGGTAAAGTCACGTAGAAGGGAAAAAATAAAATAATAAAAAATTAACCCGTAAAAACAAAGTGTTTCACTATAAATCCTTTATATGCGTGGCGGCTAGACTCCTCTCGTCCTCTGGCTTGAGATGGCTGCCACCTATGGGTCAGATGATTGCCTGCCACCATTAAGCAATTGGTAATTAAATATCATTTTTTTTTTCCTAAAAAGTGTAAAATTTTGGGGAAAAAATTTCACGAAAATAAATTGTCGCACACAACATGTCTGTGTGCAAAATATCAGCTCGATTGGATTACGGGAAGTGGGTTAAAAAACTACCGAAAGATTTGCACGGTCGTAAGCGCGCAAGCAAGCAAGCAAGTGAACTCAATATAAAGGATTAAAAAATAAAACATAATAAGATAAAATTCTCACGACGTTTCGGCCACAACGCAGAGGACGGCTGCTTGCGTTTTGGCATTACACCTCGATTATTAATAAGCGAGATTAGTCTTTTGAGTTTCGGAATATCTCTGGCTGAAGCATCCCTTAAATTAGAACGACAACATTACACGGTGTGTTGTGTTCATTGCACGGTGCACACGCCATTGCACACGATGCTGACGATTCACACCCGTGTGAGTCCCTCCACAATGGAAGCAGATTTATTGAAAAACAGGAGATGAGGGAGAGCAACTGGCTACGTGAGGGCACGCCACCACAAATTGGATTCTTAACCCGACCCCCCCGTACACGGAAACACGAATACATGTTAACGAGCAAAAAAACATTTGGAATGAACGTTGCCCAAAGCCTCCTTCTCAGAGTTTCATATTTTTTTTACACGGCGATTTCATCCGGCTGAAGGGCGTTCGCCGCTTGTTGCAGAGCTTCGCGGTTCGAATCTCAACAAGCCGCCCTGGTTATTACTGCGGGTGCACCAACCTTAAAAAGACTAAGCACCGTCTGCATCGCAGTGGACGTCCCCGTGACGCCATTCTAAAAGAGGTGGCAATGATTCTAGATTTGAAGCTTTCGTGACTGCAAGGATTCATACTATTTGATTTTTTTCGGTAAAGTCACGTAGGTAAACAATACAATTAAATAAATGAAGAAACTAAATTAAATCACGACGTTTCGGAGGCAACACAAGCTTCCGTTTTCATTTATTTTATTTTTTCGCACAAAAACCAAAGAGTAGGCAATCAGTTGGCCATTGTGTGCGGGCGTCATGGTCCACAATTGACCAAAAATAGAAAAATTTACCTGCACATTATTCAATTGGGATTAGGCATAGCAACATCGCCCCCTAGCTGTGATGTCTGTGAAACATATTCGTGATAGCCTTGCACTATCAGAAAGGTGCACAGAAATTTAAATGCACACCATTATCATTTGAAGGGCACGGGTATGTGTACTCACGTGACTGGCGCATGCGGAAACCAGTCGTTGTTGTCACTCACAAGGCCATGAATGTTTCGATTATGAATGGGTTTCAAATTCGGTCCTGGGGCAGGGGGATTTGGACAAATATTAATGGCCTTGATTTGAAGCTTCAGTGACTGCAGGAATACATACTCTCTGGTTCTTTCGGTATAGTCACGTAGATAGAAAAAATAACGAAAGAAAACACGACGTTTCGGCCGCTTGTGTTGTGACCAAAACGTCATGTTTTTTATTATTATTTTTTCTCTCTACGTGACTTTACCGAAAGAACCAGAGAGTATTAATGGCCCTTTAAAACTTTTATTTTATGTTTTTTACGGAGCTTGTCACTTGTTTTTAAAGCGAGATTTGTGTCTGCACGCGCGTGTTTATGTATTTGCATGTTGACCCTCGTTTTCAGAAAAGCTTTGCGATCTGGAGTCATGTCTGAACAATCCTGAAAATGAAAATCCGAAGCTCCTCAAACTGGAGGAAATACTGCGGAGCGAATACCGGATCAATGCTGCAACCAAATCCATCCTCTTTGTGAAAACACGTGCCATCTCCGAGGTGAACGCACAGTATCACATCGCGCTCACTTAGCCGGGTGCTGGTGGCACACACCCCGAGTGTCGAGGTGCCATTCCCTAGCTCACCAGGAGAAGGCAGCGCAGCAAAAATGTGAATTCAACCCGTCCCTTATTCATGGGATATTGTGTTTCCCCCTCACACGTGTGGTTTTTCTCTGGGTGCTGTGGTTTCCTCCCACATGTCAACACTGATTAATTTCCCAGCAACACCTTGGTATGTAGAGCATCACAAGTGTTGAGTCATTTGCACGCGAGCTTTCGAATTTGGCAAATGTGGACTGTAACGCTGGCAACGTTTTGAATGACGTCAGGGATTTCTAGCGTCCACTGCGAAGCGGATGCCGCGTATTTCATGGTCAGTACGTGCGAGTGGGAAACATTCTATCCCATGAATAAGGAATGGGTTGAATTCACATCTCCTGGTGAGCCAGGGAATGGCACCCCGACACTCACGGGTGTCTACCACCAGCGCCCGGCACAATTTTTTTAATCTCACCATCGTTATCCTGCGAGAAGTACAACTCAAGGAGTAACAGATTTCCACTGCTTGTGTTTCAGGCAATGGAGAGTTGGATCAATGAAATTCAAACAGAGTTGCCTCATCTCAAGCCCTCCAAGCTCATAGGACGGGCTAAAAGCAAACAACATGAAGGTCTGTTTCCCTGATGAGAATGTGGAAAATTTGTCGTGAATGGTTTTACGTGTGGGATGGGAGTATGAGTTGAATCTGACTTAGCTTTCCTTAAACTCGGCTGAAATAATAATCGAGTGCAAATTTACTGAAAATCAGCACGTGTTTACCTACCTGCTCATGGCAAATGAAATAAGGTCCCAAAATAGTCGGATTCTCACCTTAATAGTCAAGCCAGGTGCTGTTCACCCAAGAGGGATGAGCCGTGGTTTCACCTTTACTTCAAAACAAACGGCTCATCCCAATCAATCAGTCGCGGGCCCCAGTCTATCGGGCAACAATGTTTGGCGCCCGACGCCAAGCTGAAAGCACGCCGAGATTACGATGTCTGAGAAATTGCATCTCGCCTGGCACAGGAGTCACGCTGGAAATATCTTTGTGTGCGTACGCAAAATGTTGATTTATGGTTAAACGCATTAACGACGTTATTTTGGTATCTATAAGTGGCATGGTCATCTCGTAGGTTTTCTCAGCCGAATAATGAACACCTCTTACAATGTGTCATCGAGAGCACTCAAGAGACAAAGGCAGCCACGTTTGATGATTTTAAACGACTAAGATTGTGCTACCTTTTCCAATAAACCAAACCCAGATATATTTCTCAGTCAGACGAGGTCTTTAAAAACTGTACAATATTCTCCAAAAAAGTTCAACACAACACCAGCAGATGTCAGTAAAATTCAACGTCTGACTGTCCAGGCTGTGTTGGAACATTCCGAATGTACATTTACATTTGTGGATAAGAAATTCCTACCATATTACTCCCAGCAATATCCATCATCAGCCGAAGTGGACCAGATGGCAACCCTTGATACCATTTCCTCAGTAGTTTTATAAATGCACTCGTGTGTGTATGTGTGTGCATGCACTGGGCTATGAGCCTGGTGACCTGGGTTTGCTTCCCGCTCACAGCCAGCATTGGTGACGAATATCTTACCAAGTATTGGGCCGGCCCTAAGCATCCCCGAAGTAATTCGAACCTTAAATGAGTACCTGGTGTGGTGTGTAAAAGATCACCACTGGGGAGACAAAGGCGGCCGGGCGTGGTGTTGGCCAACCATTCCCTCGTGCGCCGTGTCAGCCACCATAGGTACTCGGTAACAGCACTTGCCCCAACAGCCTGTCAAAGGCTACATGGGGGATCTTTGTCTTTGTTTGTGCATGCACGTGTGCTTTGGGTATGCAGGAATGACTCTAAATCAGCAGTCGGGGGCTGTGCACGAATTCCGAGAGGAGCAGGGAAGCAATCTGCTCATCGCAACGAGCGTGGCGGACGAGGGCCTTGACATCCAGCGCTGCAACCTGGTGCTGCTGTACGACTACGTGGGCAATGTCATCAAGAGCGTGCAAACTCGCGGTACGAACTCGTGTAGACTCGCGGTACGAGCTCGTGTAGACTCGCGCTACGAACTCGTGTAGACTCGCTGTACGAACTCGTGCAGACTCGCGATACGAACTCGTGCAGACTCGCGGTACGAACTCGTGTAGACTCGCGGTACGAGCTCGTGTAGACTCGCGCTACGAACTCGTGTAGACACACGGCACACGCTCGTGTAAACTCGCGCTACGAACTCGTGTAGACTCGCGCTACGAACTCGTGTAGACTCGCGCTAGGAATTCGTGTAGACTTGCGGTACGAGCTCGTGCAGACTCGCGATACGAACTCGTGCAGACTCGCGCTACGAACTCGTGTAGACTCGCGCTACTAACTCGTGTAGACTCGCGCTACGAACTCGTGCAGACTCGCGCTACGAACTCGTGTAGACACACGGCACACGCTCGTGCAGACTCGCGCTACTAACTCGTGTAGACTCGTGGTACGAACTCGTGTAGACTCGTGGTACGAACTCGTGTAGACTCGCGGTACGAACTCGTGTAGACTCGTGGTACGAACTCGTGTAGACTCGCGGTACGAACTCGTGTAGACTCGCGGTACGAGCTCGTGTAGACTCACGGTACGAACTCGTGCAGACACGCAGCACGAACTCGTGTAGACACGCGGCACACGCTCGTGTAGACTCGCGGTACGAGCTCGTGCAGACTCGTGGTACGAACTCGTGCAGACACGCAGCACGAACTCGTGTAGACACGCGGCACACGCTCGTGTAGACTCGCGGTACGAGCTCGTGCAGACTCGTGGTACGAGCTCGTACGGCCGGGCAATACGGCGGTGGGGCACGCGCGTGGCAGACCGGCAGAGAGTTGACTAACCGCTTAGTTGCACAGAGCAAGCTGAGTGGTACGTTTGTATGAATAATAATAATTTGTATTTAACGTCATGCTCCTTCACGCCGGAGCGTTTACATGTGATCGGCCAACTTGCAGTCGCATCTCATCTCAGTGGCAGCTGTCCCAGTGCGGCACAAGGAGACTCGGCACCTGGTGTGCGAGCGGCCATTAGTCTGCTAGTTGTACGGTGGCGATGATTGCTGTGGTGTGTCATTCAAATTGAGTGATTTGCGGGTGATTTATGGACTGCCCCTTAGAATCTGAAAATATTCCCGGTGCCACAATCTATTATGACGTTGCTCCAACTAGCCCCGCCCACCGCCACGTCTGCTGCTGCTGCTGCTGTGCGCTCGCTTCCTCCCGTTCCACGACTCCTACCGCCACCTGAGACGGAAAAGCGTGGAGCAACAACGAGGGGCCTAAATCAGAAAGGGGTGTGGCCTGAGGAGTAAGGGGGAGGGGCCTGAGGAGAAAGAGGGAGGGGCCTGAGGAGAAAGGGGGAGGGGCCTGAGGAGAAAGGGGAGGGGCCTGAGAAGAAAGGGGGAGGGGCCTGAGGAGAAAGGGGGAGGGGCCTGAGGAGAAAGGGGGAGGGGCCTGAGGAGAAAGGGGGAGGGGCCTGAGGAGAAAGGGGGAGGGGCCTGAGGAGAAAGGGGGAGGGCCTGAGGAGAAAGGGGGAGGGGCCTGAGGAGAAAGGGGGAGGGCCTGAGGAGGAAGGGGGAGGGGCCTGAGGAGAAAGGGGGAGGGGCCTGAGGAGAAAGGGGGAGGGGCCTGAGGAGAAAGGGGGAGGGGCCTGAGGAGAAAGGGGGAGGGGCCTGAGGAGAAAGGGGGAGGGGCCTGAGGAGAAAGGGGGAGGGGCCTGAGGAGAAAGGGGGAGGGGCCTGAGGAGACAGGGGGAGGGGCTTAAATCAGAAAGGGGTGTGGCCTGAGCCGTAAGGGGGAGGGGCCTAAATCAGAAAGGGGCGGGGCCTAAATCAGAAAGGGGTGGGGCCTGAGGAGTAAGGCGAGGGGCATAGGGGAAGGAGGCGGGGCCTAAACAGGAGGCGGGGCCTACGTAGGTTGAAATTCCCTGTTGATTTAAAACGTAATGGAGGCTTATAATCAAATGCATTGCAGCGGGTAGCAGCAGCATAGCTTCAGTGCCCCAGATGCGGCCATAGGCCAACTAGTGCATGTGAATACAGTGAAACGCAGGAGGCAACACATGCTGTGGTTGTAAGCACTGTCACACTATACAAACACCAGCACGCAAGCGAATGTGGTGATGTTATTCTTCTGCGTGCATTTCTTTGGTTGTGTAACGTTTCACAGCACAAGCCAGTGCCGATCAGTACATGTCTTTGCCCATCTTCACGCTGATTAGGACGAGGCCGCGCAGAAAACAGCAAGTGTATGCTGATCACCACCTTGAAGGGTGGCCTGGCAGAAAAAGAGAAGGTGAACCTTCTGATGGAGAAGGTCATGTACACCGCTATCGAGAATGTACAGAAGCTTGACTATGGCACCAGGGCTGAAAAGGTAACTGTGCAACAGCGTTTTTGCATACCCTCCATTCCTGCGATGTGCTCCAAACCGTTTCCGTGGGCTGGACCCCATTGACTTTAGTCCCGTACCCCAAAAACCAGCAGCTCATCTTTTGCAGACAACATTTAAATGAAGGAAACACCGGGGAAGGATTTACTGGAGGTGTTTGTGGATCGCACAAACGTTGCGAAAATCCCTTCCCATGGATGCCAAGGATGTACCACAACCCTGGCTTGCCAGGAAAAGGCGGTTGCAGGAAAAAATTGGAATCCATCTGTATGGGATAGCGTTTCACACTTGCACTTGTGGGCTTCCGCCAGGCGTTCTGGTCTCCTCCCACACGCAAGTGCTCATCGCTTAAATTTCGATTGAAAGCTTTCGTGACTGCAGGGATTCATCTTCTTGGTTCTTTCGGTAAAGTCACGTAGAAGGGAAATAATAAAATAATACAAATAAAACATAATAAAATAATAAGAAACGTCGTGAGAATTATTTTATTATGTTTTGTTTTTATTATTTTACTCATCGCCTGGTTTGTAACGCCTTCATATATAAAGGACGGCAGAGCTTGGGGAATTGTTTGCGCCAGGCTGACCGCATGGCAGTGGTTCCTTCTCGTGCCTCCGAGTCGTTCTCTCTCTCTCGCTCTTCGAGAGTGATTGATTACTGCGAAGCAGTGCGTTACGTGCTGAAATTATCTTTTTCATTGAGATTATTGAAGCAATTGCTCGAAACTTTTGACTGTTATTGGCATGGCTGCCTTGGCAGTTATGCCGCTCTACAGCGACATGAATACAGTTTGTTAAAATATACGTGTGAGCTATGATATATTTAAGCTTTAAATCAAGAATGATGTATTGAATTAGTGTTGAATTAGTGTTAATCTGTGAAAAAAAATGCGCTAGACCTCGGCAAATGCTGTCATCAACTCTGCGATCGACCCACCTGAACACCGTTTGACCACTTACCCTCCGAAATGCCCTGCAACCATTACCTTCTCTTCTCCTCCTCCAACTCTCGAGAGGCTTGCCAACAACAGTTGGCCTTTTTAAATCCTTTATATTAAGTTCACTTGCTTGCTTGCGCACTTACGACCGTGAAAATCTTTCGGTCGTTTTTTTAACCCACTTCCCGTGATCTAATCGAGCTGACATTTTGCACACAGACTCGTTGTGCGTGACAATTTATTTTCGTGAAATTTTTTTTCCAAAATTTTACACTTTTTAGGAATTTTTTTTTTATATTTAATTACTAATTGCTTAATGGTGGCAGGCAATCATCTGACCCATAGGTGGCAGCCATCTCAAGCCAGAGGACGAGAGGACTCTAGCCGCCACGCATATAAAGGATTTATAGTGAAAAACTTTGTTTTTACGGGTTAATTTTTTAGAGGGTGCGATTGACACTACCAGATTTTAGTCCTCAGACTAGGGATGTAGTCACTCCCATCTCCTCGTCGCTGTCGGGAGGATCATCAATGTGACCTTTCACTTTGGTGGCGTGCCAGCTTAAGAGCTGTTGACCCCGCATCTGACCCTTGCTAATGTGCCGCTGAGACACGGTGGCCGAGTGTATCTTGCCCCGAGAAGATGCACACTGAGATCAACAACCCAATGATAATGATATATCCCATTGTTGTGAAAGAGCCCCTATTGGAAGAGGATTCTACCATACTCTTTGGTTCTTTCGGTAAAGTCACGTAGGTATAAATAAAATAGATTAAATCACGACGTTACGGGCGCCAACACAAGCGTCCGTCATCAGGTGGGACAACCACAGCAAGAAACAATTGCTGAATTTAATTTATTTTATTTTACACCTACGTGACTTTACCGAAAGAACCAAAGAGTATGGATCCCTGCAGTCACGACAACTTCAAATCTACCCACTCCTGTGATCCACTTGTTTTTCTTGTCAGGCAGCTAAGTTGCTATTGTGCCTCCCACCCCACAAACCCAGTGTTTTGTCCTTCATTTACACATTTGGCAGCTATTAAAGTCTACATGAAAAGCCGCTTCTCTGAGCTTTCATTTGTGGCCAGATCGCTTCTGAAAAAGTACTAATAGCTCCGTGAGCTTTACCTGGTAAAATGAAAAGTTTCAATCGTGCATGGTCCAACACCCAATGAGTATTTCAGACTGATGTTTGCAGGTGGAATTTGGTTACACAGGCAAACTCAGTGCCGATTTTGACCTGTTGAGTCCCATGATTAAAGCGTGTCTTGTTAAATTAATTTGTAATTAATAAGCTTGTTTACCCAGGAAAGCCTCGCTGAGTTTCATGATTGTTTTTCAGGAGGGCCCCACCGAGTCTTGCTAGTGGGGTGGGAGGGTGATTACTGAGTATATTCCAACTGATAATTTTTTGCGGGTCATCTTTCAAATGTGGGCCATGATGCCGGCACGCAATGGCCTACTTTTGCAAATGACGTCACAGGATCTTTAACATTCGCATGTGATGCAGACGGTGTGTGTATGTATATATTTTTTATTAATTAAGACAGCCGCAGTAATAAGTGGCCACTGGATTCGAAATGTGAACTCTCTGGAACAAGCAGCGAATGCTTGCTGCAGAGATGTCCCTGAACATCAAAATCATTCAGCAGAGTACTGTATGGCAATAAGAACACGATTATTATGGACTATCTTAATGGAATGAGTGTAGTAGAATGTAAAACCGCTTTGGGTTTTTTGTTACAGATGGAAAGCTTGCAAAAGGCCACCCTGAGTTCTGCCGAATTTCAGCGCATGCTGCAGGGATTTAAAAAGCCAGAGGGAGACATCTACTTGCTGAAATGCATCAAGTGCAAAGAACTAGTCTGCAAATCAAGCGACATCCGCTTAGTTGAGGTGGGTAATCCATGTCGAGCAAGTGTGACATTTTATTCCACATTTACCGAGCATAACGGTCTGAATAGTTACAGCTGGGCCACCTGTGTTGATGACGGTTTCTGTACGAGAATGTCTGGTTGGCGAATGTAACCACGTGTGATTATAGTCAAACAATTAAGATATACATTTGACACCCAATCTCCACTGCCCCACGATCATCTGCTTTGATGTCTTCCCATTGGCATAAGTTGACTTGCTTTTCATTTGTACGATTTTGGTTCAATTCAGCCAGCGCAAAGCATGTGTTTTCTTACGTACTTACATGTCGTTTTATTTGTGTAACTTGTCTGCTGTGAACAGAATACACACTACACTGTGATTTCTTCTGCCTTCATGGAGATGGTAGTCCAAAACCCCCACAAAAAACCTGTGTGTTTTGATGGAATCAGCAAGATTGGAAAAATCCAGCATAAGAAATGCACGAAAGATTGGGGGATAATGGCCATCTACAAGGGCTTGCAGTTTCCCTTCATCAAGATCCAGAGCTTCATTTTCAAGAAGGAGAATAGCGACGTTCAGCTCGTCCTCAACAAGTGGAGAGATTTTCCAGGAATAATTTCAGTGCTCTCTGTTGAGGAAATTGGACAGATCGGGGAAAATGTCCTTTTGGCTGAGTAACTTGCCATCGGATGCTTATTTTATTGCTGCACTAATATGGATTGGCAAATGTTCAAATGTGCTTCTTTATACCCTTACAGCGACTTTATGGTGTACCGCAAGAGGTATAATATATTGTTTGGATTTTTGTGTGAGCTTAAAGATGTTAAAAATAGGGTTTTAATTATTGCATGACATACAAATTTGAGGGTTTTAATACTTAAACGTAAGTTATATACATATGTAATAAAAGGACTCGGACACTTCCTTCTGTCTTCGTGTCTTTTATTGGGTTCTCGTCCTCACCCACACGGCACTCTGTTATAACTCTGTATTTGTAGCCCCCGGCTATTCACTGCTATTATAGCTCCTTCTTCCCTCTGACTCTCTGCTTCATCTACTGTAACCTCCTCCCTGCAGACTCGCTGCTACCTCTATGCAGACTCCCGCTGCTACCCCTATGTGCAGACCCTCTGGCTGCTACCGTATGCAGACCCGCTGCTGACTCTGTATGCAGCCCCGCTGCTGACTGCAGCCTCCTCGCTGCTTCGGGTCGGTCACCGCTGGCCAACGGTGCCGATCCTCGCTCCCCCGTGTTCGTGGCGATCTCGCCACCCTCCGCTTCGCCCTTCGTGGCCTCTCTCTGTTCCTGGTTCCCCGTCACTCCCGTCCTCTTCCGGTTCCCCTCCTTCTATCGCCTAACCCCTCACCCCCCCACGTGACCTAACTCCTCCCCTCCTGACGTCACCTCCGGAGGGCCGCTTACGCCCGCATTACATCACCCTCCCCCATAAAGAAAATCCAGCCGACCTCGGCTGAATTGCAACCTGACAAGAAATGCGGGTGTAAAGGGCCAACACGTAAAAAGACACGAAGCATGCAACAACAATATAACCAGAACACAACACAATGCAATTTTAACGAAACGTGAGGGATTTCGAGCGAGTACGGGCAGCCGGGCCGTCCCGGACGGTCGGCAGACCACCCGCCGAGCGGGAACGTGGAAGGGTTTTAGGGGCGACGGGCGCAAGTTCTTCCGTCGCCATTGGAGGCCCGCCACTGTCCCGCCCGCGTCCAGAGACATCCCGTACTCGCGTCCGCGGAGGGATAGGAAGAGCTGCAGGTCCCGTGGGTTCTGCGGCTCCAGTCGACGTCCCACGAGCGGAACGTCCTCCTCCCTGCGCTGTCACGGCCGGCTTGTCTGTGAAGGGTACGACAGGCGCTCTCGCAAGGTCAGCAGACACAGGCAAGGGCGAGTCGGCAGCAACAGACCCCGGCAAGGCAACTTCGGGAGATGACGCATCTGGCCGCGGGGCAATGTATGGCTTCAACCGGGATGTATGCACGAACCAGCGCCGTGAACCAACCTGAACACGCGCCGACTGTGGGTTGGGAACCTCAATGAGGCGGACCGGACCCTGCCAAGGTCTATGTAATTTAGGAGAGGTACCTGGCCGCACCTGTGGGCAATGAAGCCAGGCCAGGTCCCCCTTTTTCCAGGGGCACTCCCCCTTTGATCGTCGGGCACACCGCTCATTCCTGGCCTGAGCCTTGGCAGTAGCCATGCGGGCACTTTCCCTCGCCTCAGCGACACGCCGAACGTTGTCCTTAATATACTCAGGAAGAGGCCTAACAGGCCCCCTCGCGCCGGTTCCCAACTGTTCATTAATCGGCGGCACATTCTCACGGCCGTACATAAGGAAGAACGGCGAGTATCCAGTAGCCGCGTGCGGCGTCATGCGATACGCCGAAAGCACTCCAGGAATATGGAAATCCCAATCAGATTGATTTTCCCCGACTGTATGGCACAGCATGGCGGACAGAGTCCGATTCAACCGTTCCACCATACCATCCATTTGCGGGTGGTAGGGGGACGTCCGTATCTTTTTAGTTCCAAGAGCCGCACACACCTCCCCCAACAATTTGGACGAAAAGTTACGTCCTTGATCCGTAAGGAGCCTCTCCGGCGCCCCTTTGTCCATTACATACCCAAATAGAAAGGCGTCAGTGATAGACGCCGCTGACTGGTCAGGCAAAGGCCAGGCCATCGGCCAGCGAGAGAGGTACTCAACCCCCACCAGTAAATACTTATTTCCCTTAGCGGATGGCGGAAAGGGTCCCAAAATATCTAACGCCACCAGCTCATTAACCCGAGATACTTTAATCGATTGTATCGGCGGAACATATGGATGTTTAGGTGGTTTACGGCGGGCGCAATCGGGACACGCGCGAACGTGACCGACGACATCCGTCGTCATGCCGTGCCAATAATAGTCTCGTTGCAGCGTCAATAGGGTTTTCTGCACCCCCAGGTGTAAAAGTGTGTCACAGTGCAAAGATCTAATCAACTCATACCGCAATGACGCAGGCACAACGAGACGCCAGTGTTCCTGTATCCCTTCCCTCCACATCAGTAACCCATCTCGGAGAGCAGTTTCCGAAATACCACCCGCACCGACTTCCTTACCCGCCTTCTCCGTTCGTTTTCGCAACGACACCAAAGATTCGTCCAACATTTGCTCCCGAATCCACACAGACCTTGGAAGACGCAAAACCCCGTCAGCCGGTCCCCCATCAACCGGTCCCGGTGTAAGCGGAGTTTCGGGAACATCCACTGCCAGCGCGACAGGCTGAGGGGGGGGCTGAGTCGGTCCACACCTATGCGTCCCCGACGCACACGCACAAGGGGATCGTTGCGGCAACCTGGACAGTGCGTCCGCGTTAGCGTGACGCACACCCTTCCGATGGTGAATTTGGAAGGAGAATTCTTGCAACGTGTCCAGCCATCTCGCCAATTGTCCGGATGGCTGGTCCATCTTAAGAGCGTACTGCAAGGCCGCATGGTCCGTGCGGACAATAAACGACCGACCGTACAGATACGGTCGAAATTGTCGGAGAAAAAACACAATAGCCAAAAGTTCCCTGCGAGTGACGCAGTAACGGGTTTCCGCGGGAGATAAAACCCGACTCCCATACGCCACCACACGCTCAACACCACCTTTTGACTGGGACAACACCGCCCCAATACCAGTGTCACTCGCATCAGTATCCAGAATGAAGGGATGTTCAAAATCCGGATAATCCAACGTCGGCGCAGTAGCCAGTAAATCGCGCAGGCTCCGAAACGCCGCCTCCTCCGGCGGTCCCCACACAAATTTATGCCCCTTCCCAGTAAGGAGATGCAAAGGCCTGGCGATAGTAGCGAAATTCGGAACAAACCTCCGATAATATGAGGCGAACCCCAAAAACCGACGCACATCACCCACCGTGGCCGGGGTTGCCCAATCCCGGACACAAGCAGTTTTCTCTGGATCCGTGGCCACCCCGTCCGCACTAACAATATGTCCCAAGTATCGAACGGAGCGTTGCAGTAAATGACATTTCTTAGGCTTGAATTTCAAATTAGCAGAACGCATTCTGGCGAATACAGCCTCCAACCGCAGTAAATGCTCATCAAATGTGCGGCTGAAGACTATAATATCATCTAAATAAATGAGACATGTCTCCCACTGCAACCCCGTCAACACCAACTCCATCAACCTCTGAAAAGTGGCAGGGGCAGCATTCAACCCCATCGGAAGACAGTTAAATTGGAATAACCCCTGCGGCGTACGGAAAGCTGTCTTTTCTCGCGAGGGCTCGTCAAGGGGGAGCTGCCAGAAGCCCGAAGAGAGATCTAGCGTTGAAAAAAACTTAGCCCCTGACAAGGCGTCGAGAGAATCGTCCATACGCGGCAGGGGATACGCATCTGCCACCGACACTTTATTCAGCTTCCGAAAATCCACACAAAATCGCAATTTACCATCCTTTTTAACCAACACAGATGGCGCGCCCCATGGGCTATTAGACGGAGATATAATATCCGCTTTCAACATGTCTTCCACTGCCCCTCGAACATGCTCACGCTCAGCCGGACTCATCCGACGCGAGTTCAACCGGATAGGGGCAGCGTCCCCCGTGTCGATATGATGAGAGAGAAGCGAGGTGCATCCCAAGTCCAAATCGTCCGAGCTAAACACATCGGAATAGCTCGATAATAATTTATGAATCGCACAACGCTGCTCGGTGGAAAGGGCCGGATTTTCCCCACATAATTCGGCGATCCAACGATCATCAACCCCTCCATCGTGTGAAACACCACCCACAAGCCCCCCGTCCGGCAGGTCACTCTGGGCCGTAAACGCCGTAGTGGCATGTGCCACAACGGTACCAGCTGGCACACACACGCTTTCAGCACTCGCATTTAACACCTGCAAAAACGGGCGCTGATCTGGACGGACAATAGTTTGCGCCCCTACCAGCGCTAAGCCGCCCGTAACCGCGGCGGACGGCGACAGCAAAATCCCAAAAGCACCCTGCCGACCCGGAACCGGCTTCCGGTATCGTAAGGGAATGAGCATCTGAGAGCCAGGTGGAATATCAACCGAAACTTCCGATAGCGCCTGCACCTGGGCGACAGGAGCCGGTCGCCCCCAGGCGGACTGTAAAAATTCCAATTTCCGGCCCCCCGGTAGTTCTATGCAATTTTCATTGATTCTAATTAGAATGGGCATCTTAGCCAAAAAATCCGTACCCAACAGGCAAGGAACCGCCAGGGACCTCGAAATCAACACAACGCCCGAGGCCGAGACACCCCCGATAGAAATGTTAGCGTCCACCTGTCCCACGATGCCCATACTACCCCCGTTCGCAGCGATGCAGGAAGCGTAAGCCGGCCTCACGGCCCCCGGTGGGATGTTCAAAAGATGGAATATCACATCCGAAATAATGGTCGCGGACGCACCGGAATCCACCAAAATACGTACGTCCACCCCTTGGATGGACCCAGGTACAGTGGACGAACCGGTAGCGGCCGCGACAACCCGCCGAGCCAGCTTACGCCACTGCGTTATCGAGCGACAAGGCTCAGATACTGGCCTCCCGTATTTTACAACATCCGCGTCGCGTAACAACGGCGATGAGTGAGGTGTCAGGCCTTGCCGGGTGTCTGGTGCGCACCGACTTGCCTGTGCCGGAGGGTCTTTCTTTGGGGCGTCCGCTGTCGAGGCCTCCTGCTGGGGCGGCCCCGGAACCCGGGCCCAGCATAGTGGCCCCGACGGCCGCAGCGGAAGCAGTCGACGTCGGGGCGGCGCGCAGCGGGCACCCCGTCCCGACGCGGCCGCGCCGGCGGCGGAGCCCGCGGCCCTGGCCCGCTTCGAGCCGGCCACGGAGTGGAGGCGGCCGGCAACTCCTTTGGGCCGGTCGCATCCGGCACGTACACGGCCTTCGTAGG